AGAGAGAGAGAGAGAGAGAGAGAGAGAGAGAGAGAGAGAGAGAGAGACATACCTTTGTTTATGTGCACATGTGTGTATATGTGTTTAAATATATTTAAGTGCTATTTATTATGGTATAACTAAGTACTATTAAGAATAGTTCACTTTACTAAAGCACTTTCAGAAAGATATATACACAGAAATGTTTATTAGGCTTAATCCAATGTAAATAAAGTACACAAACAAAAGTCTGTTTCTTCAATCTATTGCATGTGAACAGACTAAGGTCAAGAATTTTCAATGACAAAATACTTTTTAAAGAAGTAGCATTTGTTTCTTCTATCTTTTCTTTGATACCATCACAAAAAGGCTTTGTGCATTCAGAAAAGTACAAGTCATTGAGTCCTCCATCCCTGTGTTTGTCTACCGCTCCCCACTGCCCTATGATCATCTATTTCTCACTAAATTTTTGTGCCAGCTGAACCTAAACACCAAGCCATTTATACCCTCCGTGTGTTCCACTTCCCAACAATGGTGGCGGCCACAACCTCATTTAACTTCCCAGAAGCAACCAAGGGTTCTTCTGAATCTCTGCTGTTCTCAGCATTTGGATCTCACCAAATCTTAATAACATTTAATTAAATATCCAACTTTTCTCTGTAACTCAGAGAAATGTCCTTTAAATATATTCTAAGCCACATTTGGTGTGGTCTTAATTGTTAAGTTAGTATCTAAGTTATTACATGTTGTCTTAAATATTGTGTATTTATTGTATTTGAATACTTAAATGTTGTATATATTGTGTCCTGCATTACATTTTCATAGCATTTTGTGAATCATAAAGGCACAGGACACAGGGCCTGAATTTTTGAATAACAGTTTGAAATTATTCTAATAGTGAAAGTTTCCTGTAAGGAGATTTAAGAAGAATGTGTCCACAGAATCAACTAATCTGGGCTCATCGGGGTTCACAGAGACTGGACCAACAACCAGCAAGCTTGCATCGGACTTAGGCCCTCTGCATATGTTGCAGTCGTGTAGGTTGATCATTTTGTGCGACTCCTAACAGCAGCTGCAGGAGCTGTCTCCGACTCTGTTGCCTGCCTTTGGAACCCTCTTCTCTTACTGGGTTGCCTCATCTACCATTAACAGGAGAGAAGGTTCCTAGTCTTACTGCAACTTGACATGCCATAACTGGTTGATAGCCACAGGAGGCCTGGCACTTTCTGAAGAGAAACAGAGGAGGGTGAATAGGGGTAGGGTTAGGAATTAGAAGGAAGTCAGGAGAAGGGACTGGGAAGAGAGGAGAGAAGGAAAACTGTAGCTAGGATATAAAATAAATACACAAATAAAATTGAAAATGATGATGAAAAGGTTGATATTTCAGAAGTACTAAAAATTTTAATATAATGAAAATGTGCTTTAAATCTATGTGCACATTTTTAAAAATCTACTAAATGAATAGATAAGTAAATTATGAATCAAACGATGACAATAAGTCTACATGAGGCTTCAGACAAAAATTAGGTCATGTAGGTATTTCTTTTTAACTTGACTTTTTAACTTAAAATTTGCCTAGAAATTACATATATTCAACATTCTTCATCAATATTTTCTTAGGTATGTCATAGCTAACAGGTGATTCAAATGCATTGCCTCATTTCGGGTGTATGAGAAGAGACTCCATGGTTTCAGCTAACCTAATCTATTTTTCGTTGGTATGGACCTATTTCGTGTATCTATGGCATTCCTGAAAGTCCAGAATGCATCACAGTGTAAGAAACGCATCTAGCCCACCCTACATCCTCATAGTTGTGTTTTCTAGCTGCAGCTCGTTTTTTTCAGAGCGATTACTTGCTGTTTACCAGCTGTGGCACAACAGCCTTGCATATTGTGCGCCTTGCAGGCTCTCTTCTCTCCATTCAGAAAACCGGCCCACTCTTCTGAGAACCCAAATCCAAGATTTCACTCCCTGTGGTCTTCAGGAATTAGCCCAAATCACAGAGGAAGGCATTGAGCAGGAATGGCGAGAAGCAAAACGACATTTTGGTTCCAGTGAGTCCAAGCACTGGAGGCTATTTTTCTGTTACCTGTTAACAAGAATAAGCAATCTAAAGCAGCACTTTTTATATCTCTTTGTACCTGCAGGAAACAGTGGCTTTCAATTCTTCTCTTCTGAGACCTCGTGTGATTGGGGAGTGGATCGGCAGAGCAGAAAATGATGCCGATCCCCTTGCAGCTGAAATGCTGCAGCCTCCAGTTCCACGGAGTAAGAATGACTCATGGGAAAGTGAAGACAGCAGCTCTAGTCTAGCGGGAAGGTGAGGAGGATCTCCTTTGTGAATCTGTATTAGTGCTCATTAACCGGAGAGGGAAAATAAACATAAGTATATGATTTTGTTCGGTCATAAGGAAAACTGTTAGACTTTGCATATGATAAAAAAATAACTTTGATTTTCATTCCATAATGTCTCCCAAAAGTACATAGTTAGACTCATCAGAAAGAAATAATGGTTTACTCTGTCTATAGTAAGCAGGGTAAAATTCTGCTTAGAGGGCGAACATGTTTGTCCCCAACCTAGTTTAATCTTCCTGGAGACTACATGACAGAGGAAAAACTCCCTCAGATTTTCCTCTGAGCTCCATACATGTGAAATGTGCGTGCAGAATCAAGTGTACCCACATACAAACACACGTACATGAAGTAAACCAACAGAAAAACAAATAGCATTGTAGTAAAAATGTTTAAAAAAATAGTGTTATTTAGATTTTGTTCTTAAAGTCTTCTCCCTCCCTTGGGCAGTTCTAAGACTTTATATATATACTAGGCAAACACTTTCGTCTGAGCATCTCAGCGTTCCTCTGATTTGTGTTTTGATTTTTCCTTCTTATTTAAGTAAGTTCCATTTCTTTGTTACTGACACCAAATGGAGAAATAACGTCGAGGTTCTAAGCTATAAGTAAAAACCAGCTGTAAAACTGGGCAAGGAGTTCAGAGTTGGACGGAGAGACTGGAGCCAGGAAGAGGAATCATCAGGGAGAGGGGAACTCTTTGGTGGGTAAGAATTAGGGGGTAGGCATAGTTAAAGTGGACTACAGAGAAAAGTCTCTTTTGTTTTGTTTTGTTTTGTTTTGTTTTCTAGACAGGGTTTCTATATATAGCCCTGGCCATCCTGGAACTCACTTTGTAGGCCCGGGGCTGGCCCCAACTCAGAAATCCACCTGCCTCTGCCTCCCAAGTGCTGGGATTAAAGGCATTCGCCATCACTGCCCAGCTCAAGAAAAGTCTTTGTTATAATCACTTAAGCTTACAGATGATAACTGTACTTGAACACAACTATTGTGTCCTTAGATTTAGTGGTTTAATTTATAAGCTATAATATTTTTAGGAACTTAAGTTCAAAGTACAAATGCCTTAGTTACTGTTCCATTTCTGTGAATGGACACCATTACCATGGCAACCTGTAGAAGAAAGGATCTCATTCAGCAGCACTCAACCTGTGGATCTCCATCTGAAAGCACAAATTCCCCATGGTCCGAGGAACCGAGACACCACTCAGCAGCAAAATTAAAGTTATGAAGTAGCAACCAAATAAATTTATGGTTGGGGGTTCGTAAGATCATCAGAAATATTGTTTTACAATGGTCATGACACAGGTTGAGAACTGCTAATTTAATAAATGTCTTACTTACAGTTTCAAAGGGTCGGTCCATGACCATAATGGTGAAGATCATGGTAGCAGGGGGCCAGGCAGGCTTGGTGTTGGAATGCTAGCTAAAAGCTTACATCATGATCTGCAAGGAAAAGGCAGGGACAGAGTCAAACTGGACCTGGCATGGGCTTTTGAATCCTGAAAGCCCACCCCCAGTAACTCACCTCCAACAAGGCCACACCTGCTAATCCTTCCCAAACAGTCCACCTACTGGGAACCAAATATTCAAATATATGAGCTTATGGGGCATCCTTTTTCAAAGTACCACTCCATATAACTTTTATTTAATTCAGACTACATTTCTCAGAATGGCGGCAGGAGATTTGTTACAAGCGTCCATTTACTGAGGTAGAGCAACACTGAGGTGTGAGATCATGTTTGTCAGATAAAGCATATTTACCATTACCAATCTGGGGTCTGACCAGTATGAGAAGTACAACTTAAAACAGAAAACGTGTCAGTCAAGGAAGCCAGGTCAAAATAGAATTATGAAAAACGAAGAAGTACATTTAAATATTCATTTATGAAAAGTTGACAGGGTCATAGGCCCCCGTGACTGCTATTAGCTGGTCCCTATCACAGGCTATCACAGGCTTTTACCCTGTACAGCATAGCCACAGGAACTTCATATTTCCTATGTTAAATTTTCTGTCAACAAGTAAATATTTTTCTCAAGGGGAGAGAGTTGTGTTTTCTACAGTGTACTAACTTTCACGGCTCCTTGGCCCTCTCTTACCACTCGGCTTACTTGGCTCGAGGGAAAAGTTCAGAATGCTCACTAATGTGCTTCAGGTTTGGAGAAAATTGATTCCATTTCCACACGAAATAACTTTAAATTATTTAAATAGTTAAAGTGCCCTAAAGGAGAAGCAAACCGTGTCTAAGAGTTCATTTCTCTTCTGGGATATGCCAGATCAATTTCACCTGTCAATGGGGGTAATTTTTTTCCTAATGCTAGACTCATGAAACTCAATAGACTTTTATACTTCTTCATTGGTAGATCCTTAATTCTTAAATGTAAAATAGAGAAGTGTCGACTTCTATCTTGCTTTCATTTATTCATAATAATATCCAGAGCTGCTTATTGCAAATGTTAGAGCCTCTATTTTCTTCCTCGCTTCAGTGATCTCTTATTACCCCGAGATTCTCAAGCCTAGTTGTAGCTCTTTCTCAGTCTATAAAAACATTTCTCAAATATTTGTCCTTCTGTCCTGAAAAGTCATCTCAGCTTAACTCACTTTGTACTTAAAATATGAGCTGAAGTGTTATTTGTGGATTGAAAAGGTGATAACGTCTTGGCTAAATCCTAGTTACTTGAGAAATATTACATGTATATAGAGATCACACATAGAAAAAAATCCTTAGGTTACAAACTGTTTTTCTCTCGTCTGAGATTAGAAAGCAGGGTTCCTGAATTTATTCAGAGGCTCACAAAACATCTGAAGGAATAAGAAATTCTGGAGAGAAAGTTTTAAAGTTTCTAGTGCATAATTATAGAATTAACCTATGTCATTAAATAGCAATAACAAATGTAATAATTTATCAGTTGTAAACATTGAGATTATTATCGTAATGATATCCTGAACTCCTTTATTTCAGCCTTTTTTTTCTCATGAAGGCTAGCACATAGCTATTTTGAATAAATATCTGTTACATGAGTGTAGGAGGTGTGGGCTATCACTACACCAATGCTAAATACAGTGTATTAACAAGAAAAACCGTTGAGTCCGTTTTTATTTAGGGACCATTGTTCTAACTTGGCCTTTCCTAGTAGAAAAGAAGAAAATAAATCATATATAAGTGGCTGTTATTGCAATACTCAGCACACAGACAGCTTTTTTTCAATGCTGAACAACAAATCCATAAGAGATTAGACATTCACTGATAAACTAGAGAATTAAACTGTAAACCAAACCTTGAAAGTCGTATGGATAGAAACTTACCCAAAATATTTTCTTGGAGTTTTTATTACAAATAATACAAACCTTAACTTTTTTCTTTATGTACCTCAAATACATTGTAAAAAGTCAACAACTTATGTCATGTATGACTGCCAACTATAGTGTTAACTGCTGGTTAGAGTTAAGGTATTTGAAAGACAGTACAGATAAAGTAGTAGAATAACATTGAGACTCCAGTGATAAAATCATGGATCTTAATGGTCCTTGGGTGCATCTAAAGACATCTGTGGACCTTATGATGTTACATTTAAAATAGTATATGAATATGATGAAAGATATTTTCCTGAATCTTCTTTCCTGGTTTCTCAAATTATGAATTAAGAGAGCTCAAGGATAAGAATCAGAACAGGGACAGAAAGAGGGAAGAGAGACAGGGAGAGAGGTGGGAAAGAGAGAAGGAGAAAGAGGAGGAGGGGCAGGAGATGTGGGAAAGAAGGAGAGTGGGAGGGGAAGAAGAGATGGAGGAAGAGGGGGATAAGTATGTAGAGGATGAGGGGAGAGGAAGGAAGAGGGAAAGGCGGGGAGAGAGCAGAGAGAGAAAGAGGAGGGAGGTGTGTTAGGGAAAGAGTGAAGACTTTTCATGTTTGTTCATAGCTTCCTAATTCTCTTTTTCCTGGCTGGTTATTGGGAAAGCATATGTACCCTCTGCACATTTGGAATTTCTATAATCACATATTTATCATATAATTGTAAACAAAAATTAAGTTTAATAAGCCTATATAATTTTGTTCTAAGCCATCCTAATTAGACTTTGCAATAGTTATGTAACAATTTTCTTAAAATTACTTGATAGATCTCAATGTAGAATTAGTAAACAGGTTCATCAAACCTTGAAAACATAATCAGTTCTTTTAAAGCTGAACCATCTAATTGAAACAAGAATAAAATCCATAAATATTGTAGAGCCGGTAAACTGGTTTTCTTAAATGAGAATAGTTATTAAAATGTAAATATTCAATACAATTAATAGGAATCTTACAACTTAGAAATAAACTTTAAATTGAACTAAATTCTCTTTCTATTAAGTTTTCATTTCATTAATGTTCAGGCTAACTTTGATATGTAATGCAAAAAGCCTGGAACTGTTTCCTTCCACGGAAAGACAGTCAACATCTGCATATATAAGAGAGAGCCATGCATTCAAGTCATACTGAGTGGGGCTATGGGAAGTAAATCAGGATAGACAGTCAGAAAATGGATTGAAGCAGGGCTAACTTTCACATTTGAATTTCAAAAACAAAGACAGTCAAATTTGGGCTTTTCTGGGCATGAAAAATCCATAAAATACATGACAGAGGTAACATCAAAATTCACAATTTAAGGCCATAAAGATGAAAACTTTGGAAAGGGATGATGGATGGAACAGCGGGTAAAGGCAGTTACCGGTAAGTCTGAAGACCTGAATTTGATGCAAGACTATTAGTCGTTGCTGTGCGCTTTTGCAGTATTAATCTGCTCTATTCTTATGAAACTGTATTTATTATTACTATCTTCATATCTACTTCAGGAAGACGTAATTACGTCCCGTAGTGGTTTTATCCTGTCCCAAGACTGGAAAGCCAGGAATTGACTGTGCCAGCCTGTCTTGAGCCAAATTTTGTCTTCTCCAATATTTTGTTTTTCATCAATTTTTTTGGAAAGGACTTCTAGAAAGCCCACAAACCCTAAGGGTTTTTGCTTCAGATCTGAAAGATCTGATGGTGTGCAGAGCATCCAGTGTTCTCAGGAAGAGCCACCCATCCGCTCTCATCCCACCTACCGCTCTGCATCCCCAGGCTGCCCGCAGCATGACCTCCTTACCACATCTTCCATTCTCAGGCTATGGTGCTGAAGAAAAGCAAGTGTGATTTCTGCTGACAAGCCCTGTCCACTGTCATCTCTCTAAAACAGTCTCCCTTTCCTTTTCCTGGTGCATCCGTCTTTCAAACATGACGTAAGAATCCCACCAATGACAGTCTACATTCTTTACATCTAACCAGCATCTTCTTATAGCAATAATTAGCCCACCCTCATAGCCTCATATCAGTCTTCCCCTGAGTACATTATTTCTCAGTTCTCTTCCTGTCTTGATGAAACAGGAGCATAATTAGTTCTGCTCCAGCCATAACCTCTCAGTTCCTTTCTCTCCGTTTTCTCTACCTTTGAATTCTACTCTTTCCCCACTCATCCCTTCTACATTTTCTTAAATCTTGTCATCATTGTCTGCAATCTGTAATATTATTTCAGGTATTTCACTCTTCAGCAGCTCCTGGATTTCTATTCTGTCCTCTCTGGTACCCAATTAGAACTGGAACCCACAGTGCACTGACTGTTTCTCATCCACCCTGTTTCTTATGCTTCTCTGTATGTATCCTCTGTCACAGCCCATCATTGAGACCAGCCTCTGGGTATAGACTCAACTCCCTTGTCCTTTCTTGATAAAACTCTACCTTGTGGAAATTCAGTTCCTTTCTCTTCTGAGATAGGATCATCAAAGGTTGGAGAACACTTGCCGCACTATCCGGTTTCCCTAAACCTTGAGTGCTCAAATTCCAGACACACTGGTCCTGCCGGTGAAACTGCCACTTACATCTTCTCTGTTTACATACTGACTCTCCCTAATTACAGCCTTATTTCATCTCTTCTTTCCCTAATATCCTACTCTCCATTCTATTCAGAACTGATGGACCTGAGTCTTAATTTATGGGGGAAAAAAAGAAATGGCATTTCTTGGCTCATGGTTTTCTTGTGTTCAAGCCCTCTGCTTTCTTTTGTGGCAAGGGGTGAGCGACCTGAGACAAGCCCTCCACTTGGCAGTTGAGCTCAGCCTTGTTAACCTAGCACAGTGATTGCCTTTGCTTGGTCATCACAGAATACCTCTCTTAGCCCTTTCTCATGTCCATGCATGTAGGATGGATGCTATTTCAGACATCACAGCGAAAGATCTATGACAATATAGCCTGGTCACAGGGAAGACTTTGTTTCCCCACAGTCTGACACTTTGTTCATCTATCTAGAGGCATCATTTTAACAACCTGAGTATGTCTTTTACTAGACACCAAGAGGGCTCTGACAATTCCATTGTTATTGGACTTCAGACTAGTTCAGCAGTAGCAGGTTGATTGCCTTATAACTTACAAGAATTTATAGGGGGCATGCAGAGTCCTAAATTAATAGCCAAATTGTACAGGATACAGTTTTATAACCATTCATACCCACATCCTGAGTGCTGAAACTCAACTGGTGTCTGCCTGAGATAACACAGATAGTAGAATTACCTGGCCAGGGATTAAAGCAGTCATCATAAAAATGCTTCCATAAGTAATTAGAATTCCTTGGCAATATTTAAGCATACAAAATAATAGCAATAAACTCAAATTATAGGAACAACGTGAAAATTATAGAACTGACAGAAGAATTTATAGAAATAAAAATAGTGTAAACTTAATAGTAAGGCAGAGATAACAGAAGACAAAATTACAGGCTATAGATAGTAGGCCTTTTGAATTGCCCTGTTCTGAACAATTGAGATCAAATAGACTGAAGAATATGATACATGGTCTCAAGATATTGCCCAGAGATTAATAACATTTGCCGCTCTTGCAGGGGACCTACACCTCTCACTGCAAGAGGGTCATAATCAACAACCCACCTGAGCCTCAAGTTTCATGGGGCAACAGCGCCCTCTCCTGGTTTCTGTGGACATTTGCATACATGTAGGCTACACATGCATACACACACACAGACACACACACACACACACACACAAGATATAGCTTCAGCGAGCTATGGATAAATAAGAAAAGGTCTAAATTGTTATCGAGTTCCAAGAAGACAGGCAAAAGTGGGTAAGTTGGAAAAAATTTAGAATTGATAACTGAACTTGCTGAGCAGCTAGAAACTAGGAAATGCCCGGTAGAATAATGCAAGGCATTTTACACAGAAGCATATGTATCTTAAGTAGACTTCAAGAAACCAATTTCAAAGGAGAAATATTTAAAAACAAAAATTATTATTTTACATATTTGAATGTTTGCCTGAATGTATATCTTTGCACTATATGTGTGCCTGGTGCCATAGAGGCAGAAGAAGGTGTCAAATCCCAGGGCGGCTGGAGTTACAGATGGTTGTGAGCTGCCTGCCATACAGGTGCTGGGAACTGAAACTTGCTCCTTCGCAACAGCCTCAAGTATTCTTAACTGCTGAGCCATCTCTTCTGTGTTCTAAGAATAAATCTGAAAAGCAGGCAGAGGTAAATATCAAATTGCTTGTGGGGGAACAATCATTAGAAGAGCTATGGATTTCTCATCTAAAACTATGGGAGCAAAGGGAAGCACCCCTCCCCAAGTAAATGACTGTAACCTAAACCATTAAGTTGTGTGCCTAGTGAGTTTCCAGCAGAAGTTCCCAAAAGGTATTAATGAATGAAATTCTTTATATTAAAGAAGTGATAAGAAGGAATTTTGGAACATCTCTAAGCAGTAAGGAGGAAACACAAAATAGGAGTATCTACAGTGGGTTATCATTACTTTTGATTTTAATGAATTAAAACAAAGTGCCATCAATACGTCAACACTTGTGTTTTGCTTGACATAAGCCTGTAGAAATCAAGGAATAATTTAAACCTTCTAGTTCTTACTGGATCAGAAAAGGTACTAAAAGCATGGGTCACATGGCAGCAATCGGAAGAAATGCTTCAGAGAACAAGAGTTTGCACCTCAACACTTGGCAAGAGTTGAGAATCTAGGGGTATTTCAGAAACACGCTATTTCCATTATCCTTGGGAAAAACAAGCAATATGTAATGAGTTTGTGTGACATCATAGTGGAATGAATTGTGTTGGCTTAGTAGATTTTCCATTACTGACCACAGCTAACTAACCTATCAATACTTTTTCAGCTTAAAGATGGAGCCAAAGACGAAAGGATTAAAGCAGCAGCAGCAGCAGCATAAGAAACTCCTGGCTGCGATGCTTTCCCAGGATTCCTTTGAGTCCATCCACAGCCCCACACCATCTGTAATAGAAGAAGACATTGATAATGAAGACGATGCAATGGAGTTGCTGGGTAATTTTAAAAATTAATAACTTCTCTTTCTCTTCTTTTCTGGCATTGTAAAAGTGTGCAGTAATTGGGTGGGGGTGGCTAAAAGTTTTGAATAGTATTGTCTAAGGCAAAGGGATCCCTTTAACATACACTTTCTTTCCATTAGAGCTTTATAAAGTTGCATGTAAGAACCAAGCTGAACCCATGGAAGCATGTGAAATATTCACTAGGTTGTACTATGTGCTTTGTGTATGCAGCATGGTAGCCTCTGACTTCATTGAGTATTCTGTGTGCAAACTGTGATAGGATGCAAACCTGTCTGTTTTATTTTTTTATTGCATCTATTGTCTTAAAAATACACTCTCCTCCTAAGAAAGTTTTGTGATTATAATGTTGCTTTAGAAGAATATCATAGAGTTGAAAATGTTGGCAGTAGATTAACGTTGGATGCCTTTCGTGAGTGATAACGGAGCCTTACAGAGAGTTCAAAGTCTAGAGACTCGTTACCTTCACACAACTTCATTAGTGTTGTAGATAAGGTTTTTCTTTTAATACTTTTTTATTTTTTTATTTTTAGTGATTCAAGTATATGATCCTGTTTCAGTAGAAATATTCTCATATAAATTATCTCCATGGAAATTGTTAATTGGTCCTCACTTTGGGAAAATTTTTTTTCTTTCAGAACAGGCTTTCTCTGTGTAGCCCTGGCTGTCCTGGAATTCACTCCATAGACCAGGCTGACCTTGATCTCATCGATCCACCTGCCTCTGCTTCCTAAGTGTTGGGTTTAAAGGTGTGCACCACCATGCCAGGCTTGAAAATCATTTTTGCAAAAGAAGGGTATGAACTTTTCTTTGCAAGCAGTCCACATGTAAAACAGTGTGTTTTTAATTAAGTGGTACTAGCTATTCAATTACAGAGAATTAAAACAATTGATGTATTCTTTTATAAAAACATTCTGTTCTATTTAAGCTAAAAAGAATAAATAATGTAATTACACATAGAATATTGATGCACTGCAAAGGTACTTTATTTAAAATTCTAAAACAGATTTCTTGGAATTAAGTGTTGATGGCAGTAAATTACTTTTTATATAAATGATAAGTCTCCATGCATACACCTGCAAAGGTGTTAGTCAGTCAATGATGCCAGGGTTTAAGATCTTTTCTAATGGTCTAATAGCTACCTTGAGCCTAGAATTAAAGAGACTGAATTATGGAACTTTTCATTAGATACTATTGGCCCTTGTTTCCTTTTAAGCAATTGAGTCTTATTCCCCTAAGTCCAAATCATTAATGTGACAGGGCTTCTAGATGCCCTGGCACCTTTATTTATCCCTCATTCACGACAAAGGACTTTGACCTAAGGTCATAAAATAAAATGATTTCTATTGCAGGGATTTTTCAGTTAGGTTAAAAATGTAAACTCTTCACTTCCACCATGTTCTTTACCTATGCTATCACAGTCAAACACAGTTGTGACTCTTAGCACAGGAGTGGGGCAGAGGTCACTGTACACTTGTTTCAAGAACCTGGTTCTTCTGCTTAGCCCTGCAAGACATTCAGGTGTAAACCTGGGAGGAGGAGTGTGCCCAGACTCCTGGGGCCTTGTTTGCATACACATGGGGTCTTTTGTAACTGTGTCTGTCAATTGCTTCCCTGCTGGTCCGGGTGAGTGAAAGAGATGAACAAGAGATTCTTAGGAGATTCACATGTCTACTTTATGCTGATGGTCCCTAGGCTTCACCTGCTCTCTTCAAAAGTGTCTAGCCTTCTAAGCTGAAGACCAGATGGTTGAGTCTTGGCGTCTACCTCGAGATAAGCCATTAGCAACTGGCTCTCATTAATCCTTCTTCTCCTTTTAGATATTTAGCCTGCATTCCGACCGGCTTAATGGTGAATAGTGGAAGCTTTGGCATTCTGTGTCATCTCACATATCCTCACATATCTCAGCCCAGGTGGCTGCACATGACACTACTCTCTTAGTGATGAGCATTCCTTGTAATGGTATGCAATGCTCAAGCACACAGCAGTAGCCTCAAATAACTCCACATGCATTTTCCCTGGTTTTGGAAATGACTCCAAAGAAACATGAGATTTCATTGATCTGAAGAAAACACAAATGTTAACGACTTGAAAATTTATGTGAAATCAAAATTTAGCACATAGAATCATTGTTAAGATGTAACAGATATTGCTGTTTAAAATATCTTTTGGGAATCTATGATGTGTAGTTATAGAATGAGTTTGCTGTAATATGTTTTAAGGGTTCAATTTTTTATTATCTATGCCATAATAAAATGAACTAAAAATGTGTCATGCATGGAAAGTCATCTGTAAATGTGAATTGATAAGTAAAGTATATGATTTTAGTCAATACTAACATAAAAATGAATTACCCATCAATAAAATTGGTTGACTTAAGCAGAATGTTTTTTTAGTGAAGATAGTCGATATAAATAAACCTAGTTCTTCTTGTCTTTATTGAAATGCAGTGTTATTAATATATGCTGATTATACATTCACAGTTGTTTAATTATATGTCTGTGGATTTACTTTATAAATATATTAGGCATGTGGAAATATATTTTAGGATCCATTTTATATTAATTTCTATGATTATTTTAAATTCTATTGATAAATTCATAGTACAGAAATAACCACTTATGAAATTGATATTATCTATCAAATAATGAACTATCTGTGCTTGGATATTTAAAAAGACACCAAAAATAAGTACCTCCAAAATTGGTGTTAGATATGCAAAGCATAGAATAAATGGATCTTCCCACTCACCTCAAATGATACACTTCTCAACCATAAATGTAAGAAAGCCTCAATCATTTTAGTGGTTATACTGCCATGTAATGATCACATTTTCTAAAACATCTACTAAAATCAACAGTTTTTCAAAAATGGTATGAGACCTATGAGTTTGCCAGATTGTTTACAGTTTCCTTCTTTATCCTCACAGGGAATCTGAGCAACTGTTAAGGATGTTTAACTGAGTGACCATCTTCTCATTTTCCTTATGTTGCCTGTTTTCATCACCATGTTAGAGATGTAACATTAGTAAATGAATGAAATGCTTAATAAAATTCTTTTAAAAAGAAATGTAACAATAATATGTAGTTGATTGCTTTCTACATGGTTTATGGTGACTTACACCCATTAGAAATAACTAGAATAAAGGGCACGACTACTTTATTGCACACTTTAGCTGAATCTATTGCTTATAAAATATTTTAGATCTTCTTAGGATTGAGAAAAAAGGAACTATCTAAAAGTTGTATTCTAGAGATGCTAAAGCCATTAATCATACTTAGTTATACTTTTTGGCCTAGCTCAGGATTACATAATTTAAAGCTAACTCTATATTGACCCAAACAAACAAGATTATTATAAATATAATTTGCTCATTTTAAGATAAATATTAAGAACTTTAGTATAATTTCAGTGACATTCCTGGGTAACCGCAGTTTCTAGGTCTCCAATATCTTATAAAATAAATCAATTCATTATTGGCAAAATACAGAGAGGATTTATTAGGGTTTATTTCTCATTAAGGTGAGACACCCTTTTGGCCAATTCTTCTGCATCATGATGAACTTCGTGTAAGAGAAACATTCACTGTCATGTGTTTGGTTAAGTTGGAGAAAATTTTTCCAAAAAAAAAAAATCCTTCCTATATTTACAAAGTAAGATTTACAAATTACGTCTGATGAGAAAGGAAGGCTGTCATTGTGGCCCAAGGAAGGGAGCCCTAAATGTTGTTTATACTTTACTGACTTTAAATTATTCTAAACCAGAAGGGACCAACAACATAAGCCTCTCTATTTTTTGTTTGTTTGTTTGTTTGTTTGTTTTTATAGCATTGATCATTTGGCACATCAGAATAGGAAATTAAACTGAAAATTCTTCATAAAAAAGTGATTCTTTATAAAAATTCTAAGGACTTTCAGACATTCAACCATAGGTTAATATTACCTGTAAGACTGCTTAAAATAGTATTTCATAAAGTATAGAATAAAAACAGGTTAATGTAAATTAGTGCCTATTGCAGATGAAATATCTAAATGGGGAGTACTTTAACATATAGTAAATAAAACACTCAGAAGGTTAACATCGAAAAGAGTTTCCTCAATACATGTCAGTTTTATCTTCACATTTAAGATATTCTAACAAATTCCATTAATTATTCCGCAGCCGATTATCACAATTAACCAGACTTTATGGAGAAGCACTGAATAAATCAGTGTAACTGCAGACCTAAGACATTTTGAAGTTGTGTGAGATATCTGTCACTTGTCACAATATCTCTGCTGTGACAGAAGCTCTGAGGAAGGTTCCACTCTTGTGTTGTCACCTATGCTCTGAGCTGTAACTTCAGTTGGCTTCCATGTTGTCATTCCTGTATGAAATCCACGCAGACACAGTCACCGTGTGGTCCAAGGACTACAATACTGTGCTGGCCTCTTCTGGTTAGAACGCCATTTTACAAAATATATCCGAGCATGAGCATTCCTATGGCAAACTCTGAGCAGCTGCTGGGTGTGAATGTTAGCTCTCCGTATGAGGAGTGTTGCATTTTATATTCAATTTTACAAAGCTATTTGATCTATCAAGTTTAGTGATAAGGGCGGGTGTTGTGAGAAGGAGATGATAATGCTCTGTCTCTCAAGCCTTTCTTGCCATGTTAGCAAGTTTATATCTACCACTTACAGAGTGGATTTGAATGTTTGTAAGGCTTCAGATTTGCACAGACACACAAATCTGGATTACAGGTGCTAATTCTCAGGGTTTGGTTTGCCTGTGAATCACCAACGGGCCATCTTTAGTCAAGAATTCAGCATTTCTCACACCCAATAATTTGTTCATTAGATTTGAATTCAACGCATGAAGCAGATTTTCCTCAATAAGAGTGCCTTCCTGACTATAGTGGATTCTGTTACAGGAAGTCGGTCGGACTCATAAGGACACTGATAGAAAGGATATAAGCGGTAAATGAGGAGGCTCGCTGGT